GAAATGGTCATAAGTCAAAATGCTTAAATAATACATAGAAAATCTAAAATGGGTGTCTCTTTTTCTTCTCAGCACCACAACTCTCACTTTTAAGCTTGCCAGCCATGTTAAAGTGAATTACAAACGAAAATTTTGTCAGTACACAGCGCAATCACTGACGTTGGGACTCGAAAATACGTAATTTGAAAAAAATTTGGTATGATTGAGGCAGGTCGTAAGTGCGGGTGGTCGTAAGTTCTGGTGCCCTTATTATAGAATGGATGTCAATTCACTGGAGTCGGTGCAGCGAAGAATGACGAAAATTATTCCGGGACTTAGAAACCTTCCATATCAAGATAGGTTAAAGAAACTAAACTTGCATTCCCTAGAAAGACGAAGAGTGCGGGGAGATATGATAGAAGTATTTAAGTTAGTGAAAGGAATCAATAAAGGGGATATAGATAAAGTTCTTATAATTTCCAAGCAGGATAGGACTCGGAGCAACGGATTTAAGTTGTTTAGGTTTAGGAGGGAGATAGGAAGAAACTGGTTCACAAATAGGGTGGTGGATGAGTGGAACAAGCTTAGCAACTTTGTAATAAGTGCTGGAACGCTGGAAAGTTTTAAAAGGAGGCTAGATAGATTCATGGACGATAGAGAGTGGTGGAAACTCTCGACAGGAGCTGCCATGCACAGGCCAACTGGCCTATTGCAGACTCCTTATTTTCTTATGTTCTTATGTTATGTAAGTCAAGTAGGTTGAAGTCGGGGAGGAGCTGAATTTTGAAGTAAAATTACAAATTATACTGTATTGTATATTTTCGGTTACGTATTGTATATTTTACTGAATATTATTAATGATGAAACATATATCAAAAGAGGCCGATCATACGAGAATATAATAAAGAATAAATAAAAACAAATCGATGAATATGCAACACCGGTCAGTCCCCCCCCCCACGTCCAGCACATTTACACGTGGAGTGTCATCTCGTACCTATTAGCTCTCATTAGGCTTTTATCATATCTGGTTAGACTACTATACAGTATCTCCAGTAAAGATAATACAGTATATATTTTATTAATAAATAAGATAATATTTTGATAAAAATCAATTCTTCTTTAATGAATTGTATTAATGTACAAAAAGGAAAAATGTAAAAGGAAACACTCATGATATTTACTGTACATTAAAATACAATTTTAAGGGTCATTGGGGAGCAAGTGGGTGGCAGCTTAGTGCATAGTGCTTCCCAGAACCCCCATTTGGTAAAAGTCCTGACAATTGGCCAGTGCGGACTTTTGAGGGATTACTGTACTACTGACCACCGAGCATCACTCACTATGTAGGTGAACCAATGCTGTTAGTTTTTTAGTTGTTTGATCACTTGTTGTAACATATCTTGGACAGGTTAAAATAGGCTTTAGTACAGCGCTGTATACTGTACCATTACCCTTGAATAAGTAAAGTAATTAGGTCCAGTCAACATCAAATTAGACCCAATTCACTTTGAATTGCTACATAGACACAATATTGTAATGCGTAACTTAGACCCCCCCCCCAAAAATATCCTCTTCATTAATTCCAAACTGACTTCCCCATTTTCTGTGGTGCACTGTCTCCTTAATACTCCCTCACCTTCCTTGTCACCCTGTGCTGCATGGTGACACATCCTATTTGCCTCAGCATGATCAATAATATAGAAACTATATTCCTCTACAGTTCTCTTCAAAAATGACACCACAAAGACATAGGTGGGAGGTCCTTGAGTTCTAGTGGGGCTGCAGCTGCATGCCACAACAAGGGTGACCACCTGCAGTATACCCAACTTGTGTATCTAAAGGGTGACAGGTTTCAGTCCAACCTCACGCCACATAGTGGTTTTATCCTCAAAACATATTCACACACAGCCACGGGACAGTAAAAAATTCCTGAGAACTGTTGCTTCCTATGTAAGGGAATATTGTAAATTTGTTGTTTATTCTTTTATATTTTCGTTTAATGTTGCTGCCTATCCACTATCTGGGGCCTTAGAGAAGGCTGACCACAAAGTGCTAATTATCTGCACTACATTACCTGAGGAAGCACCACAATTAATTTCCTTCCTTATATCAAGTACAGTACATTTTGTATGAGCTTATCATATTTTAGTATTACTGCATGTCTCCCTAATGGTGTGGAGCTTTGTGAGCCGATATGGGTATAGTTTTGCAAGCAGTACTCGCTTACACTGACAGTACTGTATACCAGTCACACATTGACTCCTCTGTAGGGAATTGTACTTTGGACCAATAGAATACCATCCCAGGGACACCATAGAAGAATATGTTTTGTAAGGCAGTAAGATGGAATGCATGTGGGAGAATGTGTGGTAAGGCAGTTAGGAGGAATGAGTGAAAATATATGCGGGAGAATACAGTGGTCCCTCGGTTAACGAAATTTTGGTTAACAAATTACCTTCCATAAGAATCTTCAATTCGGTTAACGAAAAAAGATTTGATTAATGAAACCCTTACGAAAATCACGTTTTGTTTTGAACATCAGCTGATAAGCTGAGGAGGTACTCAGCCAATTCAGTGATCTCTTCTATGTTTACATCCAAATTAATCACTATCTTATAAGAATTCCAGCAATGCAAATTAAATTCACCCTGGTCACTTCTATTAAATTTTATGAGCAAAAAACAAAAACTCAATCTAAAGGACATAATTTAACAATTAAATACTTCACACCACAGGAGCCAACTGTCAAACATGTCACTGTCACCCCTCCCTCCCAACCCCCCACCTTCCCGAGAAACGTTTGGGGAAAAGCACTAGGCTTACAGGTTTAATAATAAATAATATCTTAGACTAAAGTTAGGAGAATATAATTGGCATTGCTGGATTCCTTGCAAGACGGCGAATAATTTGAATTAAACGTCATATATTTTGCACAAAAGATAAAATTTTTGCTCTCTCTAATAAAATTCTTAAATTAGATCTAAAATTTGTATGTCTAATGCAAATTATAGCTTGTTTATATTCAAATTAATCACTATCTTATAAGAATTCCAGCAATGTAAATTATATTCGGGCCGGCTAATTTCTATGAATTTTATGAGCTAAAAACAAAAATGTCAAGTAAATAAACAAATTATACTTCACCAGACACTATCTGTCAATCAAAATACACCTCACCTCCGGCTCCCCCCCTCTTCCCACGCTTGCTGGCTCCCTCCCTCCCTCCCAACCCCTGCCTTCCCAGACAAAAGTTTTGTGTTTTCTTTAGGCTTTAAAGTGTTTATTTTATATAATATCTCAGACTAAAGTTAGGAGAATATAATTTGCATTGCTGAAATCCTTGCAAGACAGCGAATAATTTGAATATAAACGTCATATATTTTGCACAAAAGATAAAATTAATCACCTGTATCACATTACAGTAGTGATTTAAGAGTTCTAGTGTATATGTATGATATATATAGTGATTTAAGGGCGATTTAGGGGAATTTCAGGAGTGTTTCTGACTTTATGCATTTTTGTCTTTACTTTGTATATACTTTTCTGCGAGCTGGAACCAATTACCCAATATCCCACTGAAACAATGGTTTCGGTTAACGAACGACCTTCTGGAACGAATTGTTTGTTAACCGAGGGACCTCTGGATGTCTGTTAAGGCAATAAGGAAGAATGAGGGAAAATGTCTGGTAAGGCAGAAAGGAGGAATGTGTGAGAAGATATGCAGGAGAATGTGTCTGGTAAGGCAGTGAGGAGGAATGTATGAGGCAGAGTTTGTTTTCCTCTTAATACCTTTTACCCTGCACAGTAATAGAAAGGATTTACACAAATGAAACAAGTCTCACATACATACAGTAACTGTTTCCCATTATAGTTGTCCTGCTTACTCCTATTACAGATATGGCTTAAGGTTTAGCAGATCACAACAGCAGAAAGATTTTAAGAAATGAACTGCCTGGAAAGGTGTTCATATTGACCACTATTATGTTAAAATCTTGTAGATATAGATTTGTGCATAGACCATCTGTTGAAAAGCTGTAAGTTACTCTCGGTTGATAACATGGATCTCACCTTACAGTGCAGTCTTCTTATAACATCCTGCAGTATTTCTTCTCTATTATTATTTTTTTCATTAACTAGTTAACTACAACTAATAAAGAAAAATATATTGTGTGAATTTTTTTATGAACGGGTTTCTTCCACTGTTACAGTATAGCACTCACAACCTGGCTCAAGTTTAACCAGCTTTGGGACAGCTGTTGTAAATACCCTGTATGTTAGATAAAGTCTGATGCAACAACCACTTATTTGTACAGTACAGTACGGTTCAATGTTTCAACCATGCCATACAGTATTTTTTATTTTATGGTTGCCAGATTGTGATTCATTTCATACTACACAAGATACAAGTACAGTGATATCCCCATTAGCCGGAACAATTGGTGCAGAGCACTTCCGGGAAAGAGAGATTTTCGGGTAACGAGACGACTCTCTCAAAGCCGGAATAAATCCCTCATCCCTGGAATTTTCCGGGTAACGGAAAATTTTTCTTTGAATTTCCATAAAATGCACCTGATTTTCATCTATCAGACCCAGAAAAAATTCCCCCATCCCCAGAAGTTTTCGGAAAATGTGCCCCACGGGAAATCTTTCCCAAAGCCGGAATTTTCCGGAAAATTCCGGTTTTGGGAACGATTTTCCGAGGTACAGTAATTTCAATTCAGGCTATCGGAGAGTTCCGGGTTTGAGGGATTGCGGCTAACGTAGATATTACTGTACTGTGCAGTACTGTATTGTATTAGTGGATGATAACACACTTTATTTTTCATGTTTAACATTGTTGTCTGTGCCATATTCAGGACACATAGTAAAAATATGTAAGATATGTTTGTGTCATGGCACTAATACAGAGCAAATTTTGGATAACCAATATAATTTGTAAAGAAAATAATAGATAATAATTTTCCTGTTTAGTATTTGAATACATTGCTATGATCATTAACTTTTTCATTTCTTTCCAGGTGACATGACTGCAGAGGAGCTTTTCAACATGTTCTTTGGTGGAGGCTACCCTGGTGGCAACGTGTATGTGCGCCGTGGTGGCCGTTGGGAGCGAGCGGGGGCTGGCGGTCGGAGCTACAATTCCCAGCGAGGGGCCCAGCACCAGGCTGCTCATGCCGAGCAGTCCAACCTCTCCGTGTTTCTCCAGCTGATGCCGCTCCTTCTGATCCTCCTACTGTCATTAGCATCATCCTTGCTGTCCTCGGACCCCACCTACTCACTATCGCCTACCAGGTTAATAGTCTTCCTCTTTATTTGTAAAGTGTTGCTGAGTAGATAGCACACCTCTTTTTACCAAAGCCTTGTATTTATTTACATTAATAAGTACAGTATTGATATAATTCGTGATGGTGTAAGTGTTGTGGCGAATCACGAATATAAACAGTACTGAGGGGTATACTCTATGCACCTTTGGTGACAAATTACATGAAGAATGAGTATTCTATATTTTTATTCATTAAAAGTTACTGTACTTATATTTATTCATGATACTATATATCTTTAAGTTTCCATGGTTTCTTAGTGTATACGTATATTTTTTACTTGATCCTATATTTAAACTATTTTTCGTTGCCAAAGTTTTTTTTTATAATGTGTAGGGATGTGAACATTTATCGTAGGAAAGGAGAAGAGCTCAACACATGATGAAAACAGCTACTCACAGGATGTTGCCTATTATCTTTTCTTGAGTTAGTACACTGATTACTTATATTACTCCACTGAAGTATATAAGCAGTTGAAATTTTTATTTATCCTGTTTAACTCGCAATGAGTTTTGGGTGAATACTTGTATACTGTTTCTTGTGAGTTTTGGTGCAGTCATTCAGCCATGTTTAAATGGGAATGGAGTAAGATAGAAAGATGAATAGACAAATAGAATAAAGTTGAATGGTAAAGTCAGCCTCAAGGATCCAGCTCTGACCATGATTTATATGGAGAATTGGCGGAGTGATTCATAGTACAGGTTGTACCTCTCTAGTCCGGCATTCTGTGGGTCCGGAAACTCCCGTGGTCCGGAACGATTTTAGTTTGTCCAATAGGTAGATAGGCAGCTTTTTTTTTACTTATCTAAATTATTATTATTATTACAGGAGTATTAAAATTTTGCCCCTCAGGCCCCAATGTGGGTCAGTGACCTATGCCCGGGTGGGCTAATCCCCATAAAAAAAACAACAAAGCCGCGGGAAATTAAGGTTTGTTTACATCCGGCAGTTCGGCTGCTCTCTCTCTCACTGCTTGTCTATACAGAGTACAACATTTAACCCTTCAATATCTATGAGCAGTAAATAAGTGTTGCTTTCATATTCTTATGTAGAGTAATGACGATATGTTTTCACATGGTGCGCACTTACATACGCGCAGTCTCACTTTTTTTTACCATTAATGGTTAGCTACTTATATTGTTCCATTTATTAACATTAAATAACATTACAGGTACTTCAAACAACCATATTAATTTTCTTACATTAATTTTACTACAGCTACAATCAGGGTCTTATTTTCTTCAGTTTTATATGTAGAACCAATCAGTCACTGGTTTTGTAAGCTTTAACATAAACAATGCCGGCAGCCGTCTCGTCTCCTCGTGTGTTTTAATATTCCACGTATTATTAATAAATTGTATTGTTAATTTTGCACACACAAACATTAATTCAATAAAAACAAATTCAGAAACATTAATTAAAATATATATGAACAGTAAATAAGTGTTGCTTTCATATTCTTATGTAAAGTAATGACGATATGTTTTCACGTGTGCACACTTACATACGCGATCTCTCTTTTTTCTTTACCATTATCGTTAGCTACTTCTATTGTTCCATTTATTAACATTAAATAACATTACTTAAAACAACCATATTAATTTTACTACAGCTACAACCAAGGTCTTATTTTCTTCAGTTTTATATGTAGAACCAGTCAGTCACTGGTTTTGTAATCAACGAAAACAATGCTGTGTCATTTCCTCGTGTGTTTTAATAATCTATGTATTATTAATGAATTGTATTGCTCATTTTGCACACATAAACATTAATTCAATAAAAAAGACATTCAGTAATAAACAATAATGAATCTTTTGTACATAAGAGAAATGACGCTGTTTACACGATTATGCACGTCGTCTGCACGTTGGCGGGCTGTTCAAACCCGTCGAAATTCAAGTTTCCGCCGTCAAAATTTTTTTTGTTTTTTTGTTTGTGTTTCAATAAAATACGTTGAATTAAAAACTCGCGAAATTTGAGAAGCTATATTACGACATTTAACCCTTCAATATGTCTTCAAAAAGACCATGATGCAGAGAAAGTGGTGCTAGTGCTTCTAAGCATAAGCACAAGTCACTATCTGTCCAGGAAAAGGGTGTATTTCCATGGTCCAGAAATTTCCATGGTCCGGCACCGGTCAGGTCCCGAGGTTGCCGGACTAGAGAGGTACAACCTGTAGTATCTTTGCAATTGGTTCTTTTTATTCTGTTGAGACTCAGCAGTGGCCAGCCTCTACTGGGTGCTGTGAGAGAATGTCTTACCTCTCCCTGGCAGAGACTCCAACCGTTTCTTTTGAGTGTTCTGGCTACATGATGGGAATTATTTTTATTTAGACTTGTTTTCACAATTCTTGCTGTTCAGCTGGTTTATATTAGCAGCGACTCCTTGTACAACAAGTAAGTTTGCTAATTGAAGTTTTGTCTCATTCCACCACAAAGTTTAAAATCATGATATTTATTTCTCCATTTCTGTAAGTGTTTGACCATAGTCATTACATTATTTGATAATTGTTTGTGTCAGTATTAGCCTGCACATGCAGCAGCATTTGTTACTCGTTACCTTACCACCACCTCTGTGATATAGTACTGTAGTGCTGCTTTTTCATCTCTTTTTTGCTTTTGCTTCTCTACTCTAGTGAATCATTTTACCTTAATAATAACTAGTTCTTTATTTTACTATTTTTTTTTAGTTTATTTAAAGTGACACCTCAGTTTAAGGGCTAATTCAGGGATAAAAGTAGACATGGGTGTTATTTGTGAAAACTGCATGCCATACCTTGCTATGCTGGGGCACGGTTTATATATTATAGATCAAGAAATAGAAGGGATATAATGATTATTCTGTATATTTTTATCAGTATTTACTGGGACTGGATATACTGTACATAAGGCACCATTATTTTGAAATGGATAGCTTGAATAGAATTAGCAGTTAGTTTTTATATGGAGAGAAAGGCAGCATGAATACCTTTTGGCTTTTAATTTACTGTTAGTGAATACAGCATGTGTTATTCCCATAATGCACTTTGTTACGGTGCTCTCATTCAGTATTTTCCTCTGTAAATTTCCTTTTTCCCTCTAGTTATTTGCTCTTTTTTCTTTTTTTTTACTGTAAGTCTTTTTAATATGTAGTGTAAAGTAAATAAATTTTGCCCTCAATCTGATGTTTCATTTCCACTTTTCTTTGATTGTTTTTTATATTTTCTCACTGAGTCATTGTAGTGATGCTTCTCTCTACTAAGTACAGTAATAGTCAAATCTTCTTGAGCAGTATTATTTCCTCCTTGAAGAGGCTCAGGTGCTAAAACAAATGTGGCAGCTGGCAATAAAACCATCATAATCTAACTAATTCTCTTTGGTTATCTTAAGGTCAAGATGGTTTGGTTAGGTTAGGTTAAGTCATGATGGTTTGTGTCATCTGCTGCCATAAGTGTTTTAGTGATGTACCCTCTCTAGAGATGAAGAAAAAGAATATTGCTGTTTCAGTTCTTCCAATCTTAGGCACCCAGCATGATTAAGTCCTCAAATTCGAAAAGCCTCCAGAAATTTAATATGAAATGAAACAAAATTCCTCACAAAATATGGTGATGAAATTTAGTTTAAAGTGGCACTTGAGGCTTGTGACAATTGCTTTACTTTAATTAATTGCTAGTATTTGGTGTTTCAAGAGCTATTTCATGGTTTCATATGTGGTACAATACTGTTTTTGGAGGATGTGTTTACAAGAAATGTTAGTAGTGTGTCTATGTGACTAGAAATATCTAGTTATATATTGACTGAACTTTACAAGTGAGCCTTAGGTATTATACCAAAATTCACGTGGATTGGGAAGATAATGTTTATATCATCCCCAACCCAGGTAAGTTTTTGTACCAGGGCTCACCATCTTAAAGGTCCCATAAACACACTAATATCATCTCCTGCTCACACTCGCACGCACATGTTCTAAAAACATTATTCTTCCTCATTTGAACCTCTGAAGTTACTCATTGAATTGCATTTGATTTTCTAGCTGTAGGGAACCTTGGGAGTATGTAGGTCAGTGACATTATGATGGATTTTATAGTTGTGAAATTTTAAAAGTATTTATAATGTGGGGTGTCTGACATTGTAAGGTCATAAAAAAATGTAATCAATGAAATAACTGAAATGGAACATCAAGTTGAACTCTAAGACTTTGAAAAGATGTTGTAAATATTTGTCTTTTATTAGTTTTAAAGACATAATATTTTTTTATGTTAATATAACATAATTTTAATTACCTTTCCACACTATAATGCAGGATGGCTGAAATCAAGAGCAAATGCACACATTTATTCTTCCTGTATTTACTGCCATTCAATCATTCATACTGTTGTAATAGATGGATACTGTGTTTAGCATTCTGGTATGGGATTTATCTTCCACAACAAGACCCTAAATATTCACCTGGTTTACTCCTGTTACGTTACACAGCCTAGCATCACCCATCAACAAGACCACTTGCCCAAAAATCACTACATCTTGCTGTCCACAGATTTATGTACATTTCTGCCTCCTGGTTTGACCATCCCCTTCAATTGTAATCTCTCTCTCTCTCTCTCAAAATAATAAGAACTTTTTGCCAATCTTTCACTTTCTATTTACTCATTACTATACAGTAGCGGACAAAAGTTTGCTCACTGTGGTGAAACTGAGTCACAGGAATGAGTCTCCACACTGACTTACCCTGACTGTTTCATCTCATTTGGGGTCAATACTGCCTCTTTTTGTGTGGAAGTGAACTTTTGACCCCAACTGCACATCTATAATACCAGAGCAGTTTACTCAACACTTGTTTTCTTTCAATATTTGTCTTTCTCTGCATCCTCTTAACCACACACATTTCTCTCAAGCATTTCATTTCTGCTACTTAACCCTTTGAGTGGGACAATCGCATTACTTGAAGATACGACACTTGTAGTAATGCCACAGCTGTCAAAAAATATATGTT